TTGGTGGGGGGGGGGGGGGCGGCCTGCCACTGCAGGCTTGGGGCCAGGGGCGGCCCCAGCCTCTTTCTGGCAGGGGGACTGGGCTGGAGCAGCGCTAGGGGCAGGTGGGGGTGGGATGGATGGCAGCAGCACTGGGAGGGGGCCCTATGGAGGGGTCTACGATGAATTTTGGGATGGTTGTAGCTTCCCCCCCCCGGATCTCCCCTCCCAGCACTGCTGCTGCCCGCCCTGCCTGGTGTGAGTGCAGCCCTGGCCCAGCCCCTTGCAATGAAGAGGCTGGCGCTGCCACTGGCACCGAGCCCTCAGTGGCATCCTGCCCTGTGCACAGATCTGGGGGACACATGCCCCCCACGCCTCTCCTAGGGGTGCGTGTAGTGGTGGGAGCCAACCCTCACTTCCCAGCACTCCCCGGATCAGCTACCTGTGGCTCCATCCTGCACACCGCCCCACCCCAGCTGTGCAGCACTTGGCCCAGCCTCAGGCTCAGCCCCACTCCCTCCCTCACCACAGGGGCCTCAATCTACCCCCCCCCCCCCATGTCCCTTCCCTGCACCATGCCCCTTCCGCACAATAGACTCACCAGCCGGACACTGTTCTCCAAGTTGCCGGACTGCATATCGGCAATTAGATTGGTATCGGCCGATATGGCTGGTCAATAATCAGCCACCAGTTTTGGCCCAAAGAATCTTTATCGGTGTACCCCTAAAAACCATTACACCATTGGTCCAAAGCTATTGGTTAGGAAACTCCTTCAGAATCAGGACAGTGAGGTTTAATACTCAAAAAACCTAAAGTATGTGTCAAATATAGTGCAAGAGTTCTTGTGTGTGATAACTTTTATCAGAGGCCTGAGGGCTGGTACTGTGATACTCAAAAGTTTGCCTATGTCTATCCCAACCATGCATTTTGGTTCAATAAAAGGTATCACCTCAATATAATGGCCATATGATATGGTATGTGAAAGGAAATGGCCCCCTTTTCTTAAATTCAGTTTAGTTCTTCACTCTACTCTGAAAAGGATTTAGAACAGTTGGAAGAAGATGCTTATTTATTGCTCTGGAGTAGACATGTGGCAGGTATGGACAACAGCACCTAGCATCCGAAAAAACAGAGTAACTACCTCTCTGTGGGTGGGTCTACATGCGCAATTAATGCGAAGCAATAAACTGGAGTTTATTGCTCTGGAGTTTATTGCTCCTGGGTGTGCCATTTGAACATGCGCCTGGGAGCAGTAAACTCTGGAGCAATAAACTGTTTACTGCTGTTTGCACTTGCTTCTGGGAGCACATGTTGAGCCAGACTGGAGCACCCCCAGCTGGCAGGGGACCTAGGGGGTCAGCCTGCCAACCCAGGGTTGTCTTCCCCATGTCAATGTGCTGCAGAAGTACTGGCTGGGGCACAAGGATGTGTCAGCAGAAAGCTAGCTGGTGGGCACCCTTGTGCCCCAGCCAGCTGGAACAGCATCTACACATGCGCTGTTGCAGAGTAAATTCGTTTACTTCAGCCTAAAAGGGGCACGTGTATAGACAACTGAGACATTTACTGTGCAGCTAATTAGTTTATTATGCAGTAAATGTCTTGTGTAGACTAACCCTGTGACAAGCATCAAAAAACCAAAAAATATCTGCAAGCATTTGATGGTTTGAATCATTCTGCATTTGTGCTACATACATATTTGATCTTCTCTTCCATATGTTACTGTGTAGTCTTATCTTTCATATCCACATGTTCCATGCTTTGTGAAAGGAGGAACTTCTAAAAAAAATAACAGGAAACTGCAGCTTGAATCCCGGTTTTAGAACACTGCTTAGTCTGTGATCCAGAATCATGACTTTCAGCTGATTTAGGGAATAATATGACAGTCTCAGGTCTTTTTGAGTCATTCCTAATCTCAAGAACCTGAAAGTAAAGCCACAGGTGTTTAATGCTCTATCTGCTCATTGTGTACCTGTCCAAGGCTAAAATACCCTCTTTTGTTACAAACATTGTGTCCGTATGGAATTTAAAGAATTTGGAATAATGGAATTCTTGAAGTTCTCCTGCTTTTGGACAGTACTTGTTAGTCACCTTTACTTTTTAAATTTCATTTTTAAAAGTTCATTGCAAAATCTTTACCACTCCAACAGGAACTACATTTCCGTCAACAAAAGGGTTGGGCTTGGTTTGGTTCGGTTTATAAAATGGTCTTAAATTAGGTTAGACTGAGAGAGCTTTGGCTGTACTTAGGACTAGCAGAAATATTAAATGTTCAGTAGTGGATAGAAATACATATCCTTTCTATTCAGTAAAATGAATTGCTTGAAAACTGTCAGCTGTGCTAATCTGGCACAATTAAATAACCTACAGCCGGTCATCAGTTCCACTGTGGTCCTGAAGCTGGCAGGAGAGTTGTTTGCAGTTTTAAATACTAGCTTTTGGCCTTTCTTCCTCTTGTAATAAATTGTACAAGTGTCCTTTAATTTTTAAACTTGCCATCCCTTATGTCTGAATATGTTCATTATTAAACAGCACCTGGCCAGTTTTTAACTGAAATAGTGTCTTTAGAGAGAATCATTTAGACAAGAAAAAATGGCACTGTCGCACATTAAAAATGTGCCAGATATTTTTCTTAACTTACTCAGAATTATATTTGTTTTATGGATCTCATTAATTAAAACATGTTTCTGGCCAGTGACAGAGTTTACCAATTTTTTTAAAGTTTTAAATTATTTTAAAATATATTTTTTAAAAGAAACAGTACTTGACTCTATTGTAGACAGTTAGCTACTCTCAGGATGAATTAGTGATGCATGTGAGTGGGTTTTAATCATTTTGTCAGGCTTTGATAGAGCTCCCAAAACATCCAGCTTTCTTCAGGTTCATATTGCTGCTCTCATAGGACGGTGACTCAACACACATCTGGGAAGAAATTGTACAGATAGATCTTATTAGTCTCAATTTTCTTACAAACCTTTTTTACGCTTAAAACTCAGATGAACTTTTAATTGATACAAGACCAGTAGCAAGCCAGAATGCTTGTTAGATGTCTTGCGTACCCAAAAATGCACGTAACTCAGGCAAGAAAGGTCTTCAGGCCTTCTTCTTAACTGCTTATTTTCTATATGCTGCTTCAGACTACTTGTTCACTCAAATGTCTTTTCTTTTTGTTCTTTTTCTTGCTAAATAGCTCTAGAATGTTCTTCTGTATCTAATTGTGGGCTGCTTCCTTGTTTTTTCAGTAATTACTCCACACCTTATGTGTTTCTTCTGTCGTTATCTGAATCAAAATCTGCAGAGTGCATTGTATATTTCAGTAGTAGTCTTATCCTCATTTGAGACTTAATTAAATCAATTTAAATCACAATAACTGCAATCATGTTTTCTCTGTTGGTTAGTTTAACAGAGTATTACATTGTCTTAAAGGATTTCTTAAAGTTCTCATTAAAAAGAATAAACCCCTAGAATTCTCTGGATTAGAAGTAATTGAATCCAAATATAATGGCTCATATAATAATTGTAACTTATATTTTTGTCTTTAAATACTTTTTTATATCTGATTCACAAACAATAACTACCAGTTGATAACATAACAACAAGAAGCTATGTGCTCCTTAACATTATAGTGTAAACTGAACTATTAAATTAACTGTGTCTATTTATATTTAATGTGACTGTTTGATAAAGCATTTGCCATTTTTGGTGCATTTCCTGTGTGATAGTCCAGAATGCATTTATGTTTAGTGTACCCTGGAATTTTTCTGTTTTCTAGTTATGATCTTTTTTTTCCCCATAAAAATGTCTTTATTTGAGGGTATAGATTGAATGTGGTATTTAAAAGGGTCCCTCTTAATATGAATTTTAATACCAGTTTCTGTTTCTCCTCTGCACAGTCCCTTCAGTCTGAATATGTTCAGTACTAAAGCCTTGCTGCTTCGGTGAAACCTGGTCAGCTCTTAAATTCCCAACCCTTCATGGAGGAGGATGTTGAGGGAAAGAAACGGCTCACTAAGAGGAGAGCTCTTCATTCCTAGATAACTTAAAACATTTAACTAAGACACCAAGGAAAGACTTAACCAGAAATCTCTGGTTTTTAATGACTACTGCAGATGCACTGAGAAGTTAAATTTATGAAAATTTACAGTGATGTTATATACAGGTTGAAGATTTTAATGTTGTGACTGACTTGGGGTATTTTTAATAGATTTCAATAACACATTTATAATTACACTTGTGTATACAGTGTTACAATATGTATGTATTAAGAGACTATTTTGATAAGATAAAAATATATATAATTATGTAAAGATTAGACTATATTTTGATTTAGGTTTCTTCACTTCTTTGCTACCAAAAATATGTATTTTAAATGTTTTAGGTCTTTATCTACAGGGTGTGAAAAGTTTTTTATGAACAAAACCCTTTGGGTTTTATTTTTATGGGGCCACTATTTTTGTTTAAAACTGAATTCAGTTATTTTTGGTGTTTAATTTTCCTTAAGTAAAGTAGTTGGAGTCAACTAATGAGAAATTTGTAAATATACTATCAACTGGTACAACTTGGTTTATAATTGGCTTCTCCCTTTCAGCTGCTAATCTTTCATATGGTCAGTTTAAAGGAGCAGAGAATGTATATTTTTGATTCAGATGTAATATGACATTCCTACTTCTGATATATAACCTCCTTTAGGAAGAGAAAGCAATCTAGCTGACAATTCTATTTTATTTTAATTTTTTCCCTTTTAAGAATTTGTTTAAAAAAACGTGTTTTATTTTACTCCTAGTTTTTCTTTCAGTTTTGTTAAATGTCTGTACCATTTGGTAATTCAGTTTGTTCTGAAGCAGCTTGTAAATTAAAAACTCTGTTATGCAATGTACTTCGTACATAAAAAGGAAGGCCAATTTCATAAGCAGGTGGAAGTCCACTGAATTTGGCAACTGGTGTAAATGATTTTCATGGCAAAAACATCCTATCTTCAGATGTAGAAGCAATAAGTTATTCTAATTAAATGTGGCAGGAAAACAATACCTTCCCAGACATTTATTCTCAATTTTAGCTTGTAGTTGCCTTAACCAATGTCCAATCATGCTATAAATTACTATAACACAAGTTCTGCCATTGGCAAATATGACCTTAGGCTTGTAGTTCTACTCAAAATTAATTGGGGACCAAATTTACTGAAAGTATTTCATACAGTGTTAGTGGGGAAGGTGCATCGTATTTTACTATAACCCTTCAGAACCATTTCTCCTGTATTTATCGAAACAAGTTATGTGGCTGAATTCCCCTAAAAGTACTTTAAAAAATGGAAGGGTTTTGTGCATCTTTTTATTGGACCAACTACAAATAGCTGGCCCAATAGAAGATAACACACAAAACCCTTGCCCCTCATACATTTCCTGGCTACAACACAACCCTGACCCCACTTTAAAAAGCACCAGTTTGATTTTGAAACAAATGGTTAGTGTAATCCAGGAGGCAAAAATTAAATAAATGGAATTGTCAGTTAAAAGTACTGTACTTTTAGACAGCTGAAGAAAAATATTTCCTAACCCTTCAGTCCTCATTTGTGAAAGGTTTTTGTACTAAACTGAAAGTCCAGGAAAGTTCTATAAGTGTGTCTCAAATTACATCATGATCACCTGGTGTATTTTTATGAACAAAATCATAGATGCCATTTGGAATGGGAATTCACATTGAAAATCATAATAATTACAAAAACAAAGTTGAGTGCAGCTATATAAATCAGAGTAAAATTTACATGCAATACTGTAAATGTTCATAACTGTGTATATGTGACATATACACACCCTAAGTAGCATATGTGTGTGCATATATAATATAATATACTGTATATGAATTATAGGTTAATGGTAAGGTAATTCTACCTCCTATAAAGAATTTTGTTTGATATGTATTTTGTTATGAATAGTTTATCTTCATAAAATATGTATTTTGTTCTATTTTGAAGTTTAGATATACACAGCTAATCAACAATAAAAATATCTATATAAATGAGCTGCCTCACTTCTACTTTACTCAGTTTAATCTGGTCAAGTGCCTGCTCCTTTTCAGAAATTGAAATAAGTAAAATGTGCCTCTGTGAACCACTTGTGTCTCAATGACTAGATGATTTTACTGTTTCAATGGCAGTATTGTCATCCTCATCATTGGATAAGATTGTTGTTCCACCTGCCACATCTCATTCTGCCTGCATTAAGGAATACGAGCGTCTTAGGAATTGTGGACTTCCCTCAAATTCCATTGGCAGAAATCCAACAGCGCACTCATAAATTGGTAGATGTTCTTCCTACTGCTATTCCAGGCTGTATGATACTGTATTTACTCACATTTCACACACACCTTTTTCCCTTAAAATCAACCCTTTGAAACTTGGGGACACTAACGATTTGGCAGTAGCTTTTGACTGAAAAGCTGCTGAAAAGCTTCTACCAATTCCTTAGTGGCTGTGAGAGTTAACACTCTAGCTTGTGTAAAAGCGGCCATTAAGTTGGGTGACAGTAAGCGAGCCGCTACATGCTGTTGGCCATGCCCCAGGAAAAAATTTTTTTTTTTCTAAATTCTGCCTTCCAAAAACAAGGTGCGTGTCTTTTTGGGTTTAGGGGGTGGTTGGCATGTGAGGAAATACAGGCATTCTTTTCAGTGAATGGACCCTGCCAGGGTTTTAAAGTAGACGCCTGTCGTTGGTAGCAGCTACAAGTAAGAACAGCCTAAAGAGGAACTGAAGCGACTTGATTGACTCAGTCATAAAAAGGAACTCTGCTGTGACTTCAGAACATCTAATTAGCAAGCACTGTTGGCTCATTTTGATTATTACAATTACACTACTAAAATTTCAGTGATAACTACCTCCAGAGCATAGGGACATAGGGAGGAATTTAAAGTTTGAAGGACTGTTAATGGCAAAGATGCAATTTTAAACTGCTCAATCCAGCATCCTGTTCTGTGGCCAGTTCAGTTTCAACAAAGAGAATGTCCTAGGTCTATAGTACTTCCATTTTTCAGGAGAATCAAAGCGCTACCTGTGAAGGTCCAGAATTGTTTAGTTTCAAGGCTAATGAAGGTTTTCATTTGCTGTCTTAATTCCTGGCCTACTGTTTTCTCTCCTGGACTAGATACTCTGCGATTTAAAAGGAAACAAGGTAGATGTCATACCGACTCATTTCAGAAATCTGAGCCAGGGCTCATACATAACGTTTCCAGTGCTTATACTGGAACTCCAAATAGTATAGCAGGTCTGTGCTTTGCTCTTCCATTTCTTCAGAACACATCAATACATTATACAGGCAGTCCTCAGACTTACGACACAATTGGTTCCTGAAACCCTGGTCTTAAGTCGACGGATCTAACTTAGAACCGATTTTCCCATAGGAATAATGTTATAAGTGGGGGATTGTTTCCTGAACCAAGGCCCAACACCCTATTTTCACCAAAAATAACCCAGAGTTTTGTACTCAATCAATTATAGATGAGTAATATAGGTACATTAATGTATTTATATTGTAAATAGCAATCATATTGATTTGGAAGGACTTCTTTGAAGTGGGTTTGCTGGACTTCTTGAAGGGTTCTTGGCTGGAGTCTTTTCAGGAGTCTTGTCTGCTTTCTTAAAGAAAGTGTTCAAGGAAGTTTGGACAGATGTTCTCCAGGGAGATGGGTGACTCAGTGAACTTGCTTGCTGGCATGTCATGGCATTGGATCAAGCATGGTAAAGTTGAAACTGACATCAGAAAGTTGAAACTGTCAATTTATAAATGTTGTAAGTGCCGTTCGTTGTAACTCGAAGTGTCTTAAGTGAAGGACTGTCGTAATGGACAACCATGTCAAAAGGCAGTTGGATCGTGAAACTGAGTTTACTGAGTCTTCTGAATGCCTGAGCAAACAATCCAAACAGACACTTCTCAGCAGATCAGAAGTGGGGCCTCAAGAACTTAGGCTAAATACAGGTGTTCGAAAAGGCTGAGGTGAAAGCACTCTAAGTATCATGCTTTACTCAAAGTGATCTAGATTAGTGCAGGATTAAACATAATAGACATTAGCCCATGGGGGGCATAGAAGTGGCCTGCACTAGCTAAGGTTAGCAGGTATGTGGCACTTCAGTACACCTCCCAGGAGGCTGCTGGAGCAGCCCCTCTCCCCAGCCTTGCTCCTTGACCAGCGGGCAGCTTTCAGCAGTGGCTGGGGTGGTGGGTGGGTGAATGAAACAAGGGCCCCCCCCACAGCTTGCTGGCTTAGGGCAAGAGCAGGGATCCAGGTCCACATGGCAAAGGTGCCTCCCTTCTCCCCCTGGCTGCAATTCCTGGTGCAGTTAAAAGCCAGATGGGCAGCCCTGTGCTGCAGCTTCTGACTGCAGCTCTCAGGAGGTTGGGGCAGGAGGGGAACAGAACCCACCCTGAGGCAAGGCCACTCCCCAAAGTTTGCTGGCTTGGGGTTTAGTGATGGGGGCCGAGCCAGGTCCACACAACGGGGATTCATTCACCCACTCCACCCCAGCCTCCTGGCAACTGCAGCCAGAATCTGCGGCATGGGGCTGCCTGTCCGGCTTTTAGCTGCGCTGGGAACTGTGGCTAGAAAGGACCCTGCCACCCCCAACAAGTTGCTGGCTTGGGGGCTGGGGGGGGGCCAAGCTGGGTCTCTGTGGTAGGGGGGCAACCCCCACCCCAGGTGCAGCTGCAGCTTGCCTACCCTGTGCTGCAGCTTCTGGCTGCAGTTGCCAGGAGGCTGGCGTGGTGCTGAACAGAACCCTGGGAGCAGTTTTTAGCTGTGCCAGGACCTGCAGCTGGGGGAGAGAATGGAGCTCCCCCCTGTCACGTGTACCTGGCCTGGCCCCACCTGAGCCAGCAAGCTGTTGGGGAGCCTTCATGGCATGGGTGCTCCATTGGCCACACCGGGAGTAGACAGAGCCTTTTCTGTCTCCTCTCTGTGACAGCTGGGGGGCAGGCTTGGGGCGGTGCGCCTCTGCTCAGTGGAGGCTAGCAAGCCCCCAAGGGAGAGGCCCCTGGGATGTTGAGGGAATGTAACCTACTGTACTCAAGGTGGATTTAGTACAGGCATTCAATAAACTGTTCTGATGTAAAGCGCTTTAGTCTATTACCACATCCATCGAGGGTTAACTTAGAACAGGATCCACCATTTTTAAAGTTCTTTAAGTGCCATGACCATCTTTTTTGTTATGGCTTTAAAGAACTTTCTGTGTGCTTAACGCACATTAAGTGTAATGCCTGTACCTAGCCTTAGTGATCCATAGATGCATTTATCCTGCCTCAGAATAGGAAGATGGACTTGATTGATTTCTTGAGGTCCCTTCAGGCTATTTTCCTATGATTTATATCTTTTCCTGCTGGTGGCTTCCCCTGAGCAAATACATATTTCAAAGATGCATCCTGAAAAACTCCAGTTAAGCAACAGGTAGGTAATTTCTCTTTTTTTCATAAAATAACTTGCATTTTTCAGGAATGTCTCAGGCTATAACTATAGTTCCAGATAATGTGTGTTGTGGTAGTTAAACCAGTACTATATACTGTCAGACTTCTACTTGTGAAATAGGAAAACTTGAATTGCAGTGTCATCATTTTCCAGTGATTCCATTTTTGGTATATAGCATTCTCTGTAGTCAAGCTTGTGTAATACCTTGATTCAATTCAGGACATAGTCACTTGAGCAAGTTACCATGATGTAAATGAGGACAGAGACTTACAAGGTTGTCAGCAACTCTGTTAATTGCTTATGTGCACACCCTTATCTGTGGAAAATGGAAGCTAATCTACATTAGCTTACCACTTTTTACTACTCATTCTTTTTGTAGGGTTTTGTCAGAGGAAGGGCAGGAGTTTTTTATATATGTGCTGTTGTGTACTTATGTTAAAGAAGGCAAATTTGAGGAAGGCAACCTGCTCTTCAAAACAAAGGCAGTAAGGTCTATGATGATCCTTAGATCCTCTGAGAGTTTGTTCTACTGAGTTGGACTCACCTGTAAGTTTTGTCTCTTACAAAGGTGAGCCTTACCATTATTGAAGAGTTCCACTGTGTCAGAGGGCAAATTTAATTGACCACAGTCTTTATACTAGAACTTTAGGTCTATTTTCTGGTAATGATGAGCCCAGACCATAAGTGCCTTGAACATAAAGACCAAGGCCCCAAACTTGATTTGAAATTCTGTAGCAATCCATTGTAGACAACAGAGAAAAGGTCTCTGTGCCATCTTGAAGAGATTCACTGTAGTGTTCTACAGGTGGAGTTTCCTAAGTGATGAAGATTTCATGCTCAGATTTATTACACAGTTGTAGTCAAGACACAACATGATTAAGGTATAATGGGGGCAAGTCGTTATCTGACAGAATTTAATGAAATCTCTCATCCAATCAGATATGATTAAAAAAAATATTGCTGAGAGAGCTTAGCTGAGTGAGGGATCCAAGAGCAGCCTAAAGTATGGTCTGAACTGACTGCTTGAGGGAGTGTACATTCAACCAAAAGAACCTACCATGACTTTGGCTACTGTCTTGTTTAGTTCAGCTTTAACCACCTGCTCTTCATTTGTGAGTTAATGGCATCTATGCACTGGGCCATGTCAGTGGCAGCCTATGGTCACATGTGGTGATGGAGAAGTAGATGTGCTATCTGCATATTGCAAGCATGTGAATCCATATTGTCATACCAGTTGGTTGCTAGGAACCTTTACCTCAGCCCCCTCAAGTCCCTATCCAGGCACAATATAAAGCATTGTGTTGACTGCATATGCTAGGTAACACCCATACCAAGGAAACTCCCAGGTATAGAACATAGTCAGTCCTCACTCCTCTGAAACCCCATTGTGGTGAAGAGAATCTGCCTAACTTTGCACATCAAGGGCCTGCAGGCTGGAGCTGGCCTGTGGGACTTCATTGTTCAGCTGGCAGGGCTCCTACAAGGGCTGGGAATTTGGGGCCTAGGTGAGTGGGGGAGCTTCATGGGAGATGTATTGGCAGCAGGTGGTAAGTGGTAGCTGTGTTAACCCTCATGGTTGCTGTAATCATGTACGCTGCTGCCACATCTGTATCCGGCCCATGAGGTTCCCTACAGACCAGATCCGGCCACAAGAAGCTTCACCTCTAAACCCGGCCCAGGGCCGAGTGAGTTTGATATCCCTGCTGTACATGCAGGAGTCAATATTAGGGTTCTTGTACAGAACTCACAAGGGACTTGGTAGCAAGGATTTTATGTCCTCCGCACAAGACTTCTAAATGTAAGTGGTTGACTGTGATGGGAGTTTTGCAAGGAAAGAAGGGTCTGATTTTTCTGCCATTAAGATACCAGAGTTTTCCATTAGTCATTTCTTTAAAATAAAAGTCCATGTAGGCTGAACACTGATGTTTTGCTTTTTGTGCATGGAAAGACACACGACACAATGCAAGCTTTACTCGAAGTGCCTAACCCACAACCCACTTACACCTACCCACCACCTGTGAGCTTTGGATCAGACTTCTTAAGTCCCTGATCAAAGAAAGATCTGGCTGGGCAAGACATGTCTACCACTAGTACAAACCTTACTCTTAATAGCTGTTTTGAATTTGTAGCTTAGAGCTGAAACAATCTTACACTGGGACTCCAGATAGACAGAGGTAAATATAATCTTTTCATTTACAAGGTGGGAGATCCTGTTTCACAACCAAAGGTGAAGCAGCTAATTTGGAGAAAAAAATACAAAGAAGAGAAGACAGGCTGTTTTGTTTGGCCCTGTAGTATTTGGGATTTTATTCTATGTACTTTGTAAGATAATAACCAACAATAACTATAACTTTGCTTGAGCAGTACCCAAGACACAAGGAGCTCAGGGTGACAAGAGAAGCTGTGCCATAGAGACATGTCACTGTAAACTGGGCTCACAGCTTCACTGCAGCATGGGGGCGGCAGAAGTGTCTCAGCATCAAAGGGAAAGGGAGCGTGTTTGCAGTGACAACTCCTGTGCTCCTCCATTAGAATCACTTACTTTAAAGGACTGTGTGCCCCAAAGGACTTTCAAAGCCTTTGTGCTCTAATAAGAGGGTTGCAATACCATTAGTCCTAGTAGCAGGCTCTATTCAGCACACTCCAATTAGTTGCAAGCTGACACTTTCTCCTGTAATATTGGCCAGACAGACAGAAGAACTTTGGTTTCATTTTCTTGCAGCCACAGTGTTTCCAATAACCCTCAGATATAACTTCAAAAGGGTCTTGTGGGACCCACAGCAGCTTGGGACCCTGAGTGTGGAACTGGCACATTTTTATATCACGTTCCAGAAAACCTCACCCTGTGCGTTCAGTATTATTATTATTATCGTTACTCATGGCAGTTAGGGCTGCAGAGTGAGACTATAAAGTAATCTATTCATCAAGGAAAAGCAGTGACCAATTCAATGTAGAGGAGTGTATAATAGATTTCAGTCACCTGTGTTGTCTCCATTTCCTCCTATCCCCTAAATAACCCAAAATATACATATGCAGGGGTTAGCGCCCTTACATGAAAAGTGCTCTGTTGCCAAGGAGCTATATGTAAGAGACAATGTGTTTTTTTTAATTCAGAAAGCACATTGCTATTAGAGACTGGATCTAAAATTAGGTTTAAAAAATAGGTTTTACAGAAGCACTGAGTGGTGCTACCTAATAAGGAGAATCGGAAGAAATCAGTTCAAATGAATAGCTGCTAGGGGAGTTTCTGCCCCAGATACTCTGCCTTTCAGAGACAGGTGAACAAAGTCCTTTATTAGTCAAAAGCTCGCTGAGGATAAAAGGGGCTGTGTACATGCGAGGCAGCATTCAAACCATGGAGTTGGTGAGGGAGGGAGAAAAATCACACTGTGTAGCTGCAGTATTTTCAGAGCCAGCTGGGATTTTCCTCCTGCTTTTACAAGTTGGAAATCTGCTGAATAATTCATGAGGAGGAGAAAGGCTTAATTTTCCTGGGATGATGTATGTGGTATGTACGGTAGCACAGAAGGAAACCGCAAGACTTCATATCAGCTGCTGCTGCTCTTGTTGCTGATTGCAGGTGCTGCTTTTCTTGGCATTTTCACAGCTGGAACATCCTTGCTGCTGCCTCCCTGGATGCTGTTAGCTGCCTGACCTGGATTGTCCCTGACAGCTCCCTGCTCTGGATGCTACTAGCTTCACTATGCAACCCCACTCCTGCTAGCTTTACTCTCTGGACTGTCCTATTGGTTGCCTGTGTTGGATACTACTGGACTTTGCATGCTCTGCACTATACCTGTAACCTGCCTTAGAGCCTTATTCTGGCTCCTCTCTGTCTGTGTCTCTGCTTCAAAGCCTCCTTTCCCAGGTAAGCATGAGATTTACGTGGAGGTGCCGAGACTGAGTTGCATTCAAGAAGATGCCCAACTCTTCCTGGAGTGCCAGCTCCTCTCTGCTGCTGCTGTGTGAAGAGTCCTCAGGGACCAGGATCTCTTTGTCTCTTCTGTACTCCTTGTTAGCCATATCAGGGACCTTATCCAATGTGATGGTCATTTATTTAGTCTTCTCCTTCAAGAAGCTACAGACCACCAGCAATGCTTTCATTGTGAATGGCTGTGCCGCTGACCTGAGCGTCTGTGCCCTCTGGATGCCACAGGAGGCGGTGCTGTGGCTGCTACCACCAAACTCCCCTTCTGCCCACTCAACAGGATACCGGCTGCTCCGGGGGGCGCTCCTGGGCCTTGGCCTCACTGTCTCCCTGGTCTCCCACCTTCTGGTAGCTCTCAACAGGTATGTACTCATCACTAAAGCACCTAGTACTTACCAAGCAATCTACCAGCGGAGACATGTAGGGTGGATGATTGGACTGTCCTGGGGCCTTGCCTTGCTCTTGGTCCTGCTGCTGCCCAGGCTTTGGACACAGTGGCCTTCACAGCAGTCACCCCAGGGGGACACTAGCAGCAGTGTGCACTATACTGCTCTGCTGGTACCTCTGGCCATGCTCAGCCAGACGGCACTGCTGCTCCACTGCTATCTTGGCATCGTGAGGCGGGTACGGGGCAGTGTCAAACGGGTCAGTGTTCTCAACTTCCACCTTCTGCACCAGCTGCCCTTCCCTGCTGCCCCACAGCCACCACGCCGGGCCCAGCGACGCCTCAGCAGCATCTCTGTGCTGCTCCTCTGCTGTGTCTTCCTCCTGGACACCCAGCCCCTGGTGTGGGTGAGCCTGCTGGGCTTCTTCCTGCAGCCCATGCCCCGGGCACTGCAAGCGACCAGCTGGCTGCTGCTCTGCTCACTGTCAGCATTCAACCCACTGCTTTATACCTGGAAGAATGAGGAGTTCAGGCGCTCCGTGCGCTCAGTGTTGCCGGGAGGAGACGCTCCAGCTGTAACTGTAGCTGTGGCAGCAGCAGCCACCGCCCTCCCCACGGTGTCCCTTCCCTCCCAGGAGCTGCCACAGCTGGGTGCCAGGGTGAAGAGCATGGGTAACCTCATGCTTCACTGATCCACTTGGGGAAACATATGGCTCCCTTGGCAAGATTTGACAAGATGCTGAAACATGTAGGAGGCATACAAGTGCAAATGACTCACTGAACCACAGAGCAAAATCCTCTACTCCCTGAGGGAGAGACTTTGGATGCTGCTTCACAGATGCTGCCAGGCTAAAATGTATATCCAACTGATTTCCTTCCCCGTGGCATGTATGTGGCCTGGAAAAGCTGATGGGGTTGGATACTTCTGAGGACCCTGTTGCTCTCCAGCTCCTCGGTTTCCCCTCTGCTTTCCTCTCAGCTTGTACACTGCCAACTGAGGTTCCTTCACAGGAGTAGAATGCTTGTGTCTGGGGGTTACAACCACTGCGGTGTAAAAATGTTGCCATGGAGACTCCTTTAGAGAGGTTGTGGACCTGGGGCTGCTCAGCCCTCCTCACAGGAAGGTGGCGCTTGGATGTGGGTGATTCAGAAGCTATTTTACAATGGGGCTTGGGATGCTAAATAAGCATCTGGGAACTGCCTTGGCAGTCCCACCCCACTTCCAGCTCTCCATTCCTACTGCCCATCCACAACAGGCTTCCCTGTCTTCTCAAGTGGAGCCCCACAAGATGTGCAAGGGTAGAAGGTCCGTCCTTCTGCGGGCATCTTCCAGGAAGGGACATCTACCCTGCCCCCTCTTTCCAGAGGGCTGTTTCCACAGGACTTTCTGGGACTTCACCCTCTTCTGCTCCTCACCCCCTTTGGGGCTGCTCTTTCCCTTGCTAGTTCTGCCCCCACTTCTTTCTCCTTTGTCTGTGAATTTGTTTCCTTTCTCGCTCTCTCCTTGCCCCTCAGTTTGACTCCTGCTTTGTGTACCCATTTGCTGCCTCTTCCCCCAGAGGTTTGCCACCTTCAATCCCTCACTGTTGCTGATACACTGGGAAGGCTGAAGCTCTTGCTGTGTTGTCCCAGGGCATTTGGGAGAACGAGCTTGGGACTTGGTGCTGCTCAAGCCTCCTTTGCAGCCTGGTTTTTCTCATTCCCTCCCTCAGCTTCCCCTGCTCTGTACAGTGCCATCCACATCTTTCTATTTTTAAAGGCCTCTCTGGGATGGTAGCCAGGGCTCAGAGCCCATTGGATTGGGTTTAGAAGTAGTCACAGTCCCACAGAGAAAACAGGATGGAGAGGCAACTTTTAAATAAAAAAAAAAGCCCCTGATTTTACTACTTTGTTTTGGATGTTTTCTGAGCAACTCTTTAAATAAAACAAATTTTGACACAAATCTCTGCCTTTGGCAATTCACTTTGATCAAAATAGAGTTGAGTCCTCCATCTCCACATAGCATTATAATCTGTTCAGCTATTTGTCTTTGCTGTGGTAGTTCTACTTCATCAGGCACAAACCACATTATTGTTGCAAGGGGTTTTTGCAGCCTGTCCTTATGCTAAGGTAGAGGTGCCAGGCTTGGTGGGATGCCTTCTGTTCAGCATAAATCCTTCCACTCAGGATAAATGTGTCAGTGGAGCAGCTTTTCTGGCCATGACTGCAACCTCAGCACTGGTTGTAGTCAGGGACTAAAGATCCTTTCATTTTTTCCAGCCTGCCAAGGCTTCAAAATGATAAAAGGGAAAAGACATCCTGCAGCCAGCATCATTAGCAGAGGAGAGAAGCTTCATGAGTGTATGACAGCCTGTGAACTAAAAAAAAAAAAAAGGTTTCCTAGTTCTTAACAAGACTTCCTCCTCCATATCTCAGGCACAGTCTGCTCTGAGTGACAGTGAGTATCTCTCTTGTTGTGTATCCAATTTCCATGCTAATAGCTTGTTCCAGCTTCTTTTAAGTCAGCAGAAGTTTTCCCAGTAACCACAATGTGAGTGAAGTGTAAGTCCCAAGATGGGATCCCTGGTTGTGGAGGTAGCAGAACATATTGGAACCCCTGAAGTTCTCAGGTGGGTCTGGGTCTGGGTCTGGGTGGTGGGTCTGGGTCTGGGTGTGGAGGCAGGTAGGGCAGAGATTACACTACAGAGAAGTTACATGAAAGTTGTGCACCCCCTTCAGGCTGCAGGGCAATATTTGGTGCCAGCTTTTGCTTCTCCACAGCAGTACTGGCAGATATGGGTGGCTCAGCATAAGCACTGGAGGTCTGAAACTGCCCAAACATGCAAGTCAAATTCCTTTTCCCTGCAAAGGAGGAAGGGGTGAATGCCTACGCTTCTGCTAGCACTGCAGGGGCTCCAGAGCCAGGAGGTCCTGGGAGGATTCTGTCCCTGCAGCCATATGGGGAAACTGCACAAAGCTCATTTGTTCATACTTTGCATAGGAGCTGAGAGTTTGGCTCTGGTGTAACTGGTACAAAGCAAGTCCATCCATGTCCCTCTGGGACTGAGGTTCCCTACCCAGTGTAGGTCCTGAGTGCATAGTGTGCACTGTGCTTGACTAACTCTTGCCCTGGGCTGAAAGCCTGGACAGGCAGATATGGGGCCTACTAGCCTTTCAGGAAGGGAGGGAGAAAGAAATGATCATTGAAACTATTCCTCCCTTAAAACTGGAGTTGTATGTGAAAACAGAAAAGGAAGCCCAATATGAAACAGGAGTTTAACTAAAGATGATCTATGCATGACTATCAAGATTGTTTAGAGAGGTGGCTGTTCGAGCAAGGTGAGGGTACTCACTTCACAGCCTCAGCAGGACAAAGACAACAGTGAGGAAATGAGTGTGGAATGTTTCCACCTCTCCTTGATCTTCTCTGGGGGTGCCCATCTCTGTCTGCATGTACGCTGATTTCAGACCTCTCTCACCTTGCGAAAATACTGTTCAGAATGTGCCTTAACCTAAAGCCAAGATCTTTATTTTCCTTTAGTGTAAATATTGTATGGCCAAGCTTGTCCTAGATCCTAGCAACCAATGTGCCTAGCCTCTATAGAAGTAGTTCTCAACCTTTTTAGACTTAAGGCACCCCTTCGGAAATGCCAGCTCTTAGTTTTCACTCATTTTTTACTATGGAAAATAGAGCAATTCTTCTGTTGCAAAGAACTCAGAAAACCCACAACAGGTCAGAATGTTTTTAACACTATCGATTCCTATTTGAAATCTCTGTGTTTATCTTGTAAATCATATTTGCACACCTAACAGTGCTAATACTGAATAGCACCATGCAGAACCTTTGAGAGGATCGCAAAACATCTCATTGTGTTGTGGCAGCCTGGTTGAGAATCACTGTTCTGTAGATACCATCTTCAGAGGAAAAAGTAGACCAGACTTCCAAGAGTTACGGTTAAACACACTATCATGTATTCTGCCATCCAGGGCTGAGCATTAAGTCTAACTACTACTGAATCCAGTCATACTGTAAAAAAAAAAAAAATCCTTATGAAACCACAAGGTGATGAGGACCATCAAATTCCACTGGATCTGTGGGATATAAGGATATTCAGCACCTTGTAGTCCTAGGCTCCTAAATAGAACAACAAATGTTAAACTAACATAAAAATCAGCTAACCAAAAACAAAAACTATCTTAATGTGAAAGCTTTTTATTTAAAGCAACTCAGACATTCAAACCAGAGAAACCTGCCTGCGTTCCCTCAAAGGACAGTGCTTAAATGCTTGCTTGTATTTCATGTGAGCAATATTTGAACTCACTTATTTAACATGTTAATTGAGTGCCATTTTGTACAAAACTTGTATCACCTAAGTGCTGTGCATTCTACCCCTGCTCCCTCCCCATATGTATAATGTACTAAATTTCACATAAAAGCTGGAAAACATTTGGATGCTTCAGAGGCAATTACATCTATTGCTAATCTTAAAGGGCCATTCTTAAAATACACATGAGAGCAGAAAATGACATTGCACAAAACAAAATTATCCTCTAAAATATTTAACACAGAATCATTTGATTTAAGATCTCTCTTCATTTCAAAGTTACTGAGAAAAAAAGAGAAATCCTGTGTGCCTTGACCTAAAGCCAAGTTCTCTGTTTTCCTTCAACATAAATACACTATGGATAGACTTATGAGTTGGCCTGTGGACTGACCTGTGGAGCTCCCCACAAGTCAAGAAATTTGGTGGCAGGGGACTGGTAGCAATCAGCACTGCTACTACTCCCCCATCATCACAGTTCCAAGCCCTGCAGGCTAGATGACATGGCCCTGCATGAAGGCCAGGGCTGTGGGCACGATTTGGTGTAGGGTCTGATTCAGCATGTGGGGCTGTGGCCATGCAACTGGCTGGCCCCAGCTGGCCTGGTTTCCCACACACTGGCTAGGCAAGCCCACATGCTGGATCAGGCTTTGGCCAGGCCTGCGTTGCACACCAGATTAGGCCTATAGACTGACCCTGTTCCACTCATCCAGCCCATAGGGTCAAAGGTTTGGGCACTGGTGCCCTAGTAGTGTATCAATGTGCCCAGGCTCTATAGATTCTGCCTCTGGAATGGAAGACTAGATCAGACTCCCCTTAAATTCTTGGCCTCTCTTGACATCTCTTCTGTGCTGTGTACAACTGGATCAAAGCCATTAATCACATGCTTGATGGTAAAGCCTTTTTGTCACTAGTTACCTTTCACATTCAAAGTACAAGCCTGCATTATGGGGGAAAGTATTCATAGCTGCTTGTCATTCCAAATACCTGAACCTGGTAGGACAACCCAGGTAAAGCTCTTCTTTTGTCAGATGTTCTGCAACCCAAAGCTGGTTATGAGCATGACCTAAAGAATCCTGTCTCTGATTTAGAAGCACTGTTTTTTGATTTGCCATTCAATTTAAAATCATTGAACAAACTTTAGTTAAAGCGCCCTTGCCACCATTTTGAAATGTGGGATGTTGAATACATGTGACGCTGTGGGTACTTTAATTAGAGTGGCTCTAAAGCACCCTCCCCCCCAGAGCATATGTATAGATGCCCTCCAAGAGGAGAAAGAGAGGGCACAGAATCATCAGATGCATCCACTGAAGCACATAGCATCATCCTGAGAAAGAGCTAAGGGTGTAGAGCAATAGTTCTCAACCATTTTAGACTCAAGATCCCCCTCA